CAGACCTTTGTGCGTCTGAGCCCTCCGGGACGGCCGAGAGGAGCGTGAACGCGGACGCCGGGCTGCCTCGTCGCCGCCCTGGCTGCGGTTAGACTTGATCACAGCACGGGAGAGGAGTTAAAAGGCCCCAGTGCCAAAATCTCGATGCTGTTGGCAGCCAGGGGACGACTGCTCTCCCAGCCCCGTTCCTCACCTCCTGCTGTCCGAACACAACGCGAAGCCCCGGCAGGGCGGATGCCATTCCTGCCGCGGGCCGGCGTCGTTCCCCTCGTCCGTAACGTCTCGCCTACAATCGAGGTGCCCTCTGACCGTCTCCCTCTCTCCAGAGTCTGTGGAGCCTCAGATGTTTTCGAACCTGGTCCTCTCCGAGGAGAACGATGAGAGCTCCTCCATGAACATCGACTTCTCCCACCTCTCCATGCTCCCGCACTTGGCCGACCTGGTCAGCTACAGCATACAGAAGGTGATCGGCTTTGCCAAAATGATCCCGGGATTCAGGTGAGACGTTTGCTCCCAGATCCGACGGCGGCGGCGGCGGCCGTTTTCCGCTCCTGGGAATCCCGTCCTACCCTTCACAGCCAGATCGTTTTTTCTCTGTTTCATCTTCGCAGCTGCCCCTCAGGCTCTGTTCCCTTCCCAGGTCTGTTCCTACTTTCACGTTTTCCGTCTCCCCTCCTTCCTGTGGGGTTACTCCTCTCCTATTTTACCCTGATTCACCCAGACTCTGTCCGCAAAATGCTCGAGCTCCTAAGAAAGGCGCTCGAGGCCGTGTTGAGTGGTCCCATCCCGGTTTGCGAAGGGCCTCGGGTCCCGTTTAACTCCAGGCTGGTGCCCCGGGGCGCTGGGTGGTGCCACTCAGTAAACGTAGCTGCAGAAATACCTGCTGCTTAATTACGTAGAAACCCGGGGGTGAGGGAGAAGCTGGGGTGCCCCCAGCGAAGGGACCGGGTTACCGATGGAGAACGTGATGCATGGGCGGCGTGGGCTGTTCCTTTGCTCACCGGACAGGTCTCACGTCACCCTCTTCCCCCCCCCCCCGGAACCTCCCAGCAGAGGACCAGATCGCCCTGCTGAAATCCAGCGCCATTGAGGTGATCATGCTGCGCTCGAACCAGTCCTTCACCCTCGAGGACATGACGTGGACCTGCGGCAGCAACGACTTCAAGTACCGGATCAGCGATGTCACCCAAGGTAAAGGCTGCCGGGCGCTCTCCTGCTCGCTGCAGGCGAAGAAACGTCATCCCGGCCTTAAATTCAGGTGCAAAAATCCCGTGCCGAGTCGTCTGGAAGCAGGGACGTGTTGGCAGGTTGCACGGCTGGGGGAAGACGGCAACACCCGGCAGCTCGGCAGCGCCGCGGGGGGGCCGAGACCCCCGTCCCGGCGTCAGCCGTGCTCTGTTTATCTCCCAAGCCCCGCGTTGCATCCTGCAGGCTGACCCCGATGGCTGGAAAGAGCCGTTAACTCCCGAAGGAGAGCAAAGCCGGAGCGTGGCTGTAGCTCAGAGCTGTCTCCGGCCCCTCTGCCCCGCGGCAGGGGTCGAGTTCAGTTTGCTCCGAGCTGCCGTGAGGGCTGGAAAGCCGCTGCCGCTGCTCCGCAGCCAGGATGCCCTTCTGCTAGGAAAGGTGGTGAATCCCGCCCTAAACCTCCCCGGCTTTGGGATTTGGGGACCAGCACGGAGAACAGGGTGCGGAGATGATCGATACGGACCTTAAATCTCTCCCTGCGCTTGGAAGAGCCTTTAGAGTAACCCGGGGCTGCCGAGATCCTCGGTGCAAGGGCAGAGATCCCCCAGCGAGATATCCCAGGAGAAGCAGAGCGAGCGGCGCGTTGGGGACCGGGCGCGGGGCAGCCGGCACCCATTTGAAGGCAGGAAAAGAGATCTGCTTGCAGAGGGGGCTCTGGGCGCGGGAGGGGGGGTTTGTGATGCTTGTTGCAGGACACGGGGCCAGCGTGGAAGTGATGACAGGGAGGCAAAACGTCTGTAGGTTAATTGTCTTTATAGCTTTTCAGAAGCAGCAAAATCTGCTCCATAATCTCCGGCTTTAGAGGAACTACCGGGGAGAAAAGGACAGTTAAAAACCCACCGGGGTTTAAGCTGTCTCAAAAGTCGTTTTCCGCTGTCCCGGCTCTCTGAAAGAGGAGCTGCTGAGCTCCGTGCTCGTCCCTCAGCTGCGGGAGATCTTATTCCGGAGCGGGCCGTGCTAAAGGTCCTCTCTTTTCCCAGCTGGCCATAGCATGGACCTGCTCGAGCCGCTCGTGAAATTCCAGGTTGGTTTGAAGAAGCTGAACCTTCACGAAGAAGAGCACGTGCTCCTCATGGCCATCTGCATCCTCTCCCCAGGTAGGAGGACGCTCATCCCCGAAAGGTCACTTAACCTGCCAGGTTTTGGCCGCATCCCCAAAAACGTCCCCTTTCCCTGCCTCTCCGTCACGGCCGGCTGGGAAAAGGGAAGGGAATCGCCCTGCTGCCTCCCTTGGGTGTTTTCCTAGATCGCCCAGGCGTGCAGGACACCTCGCTGGTGGAATCCCTCCAGGATCGCCTCTCGGAGATCCTCCAGACCTACATCCGCTGCAGGCACCCTCCTCCCGGCAGCCGCCTGCTCTACGCCAAGATGATCCAGAAGCTGGCCGACCTACGGAGCCTGAACGAGGAGCACTCCAAGCAGTACCGCTGCCTCTCCTTCCAGCCCGAGCACAGCATGCAGCTCACGCCGCTGGTGCTCGAGGTCTTCGGCAACGAGATATCCTGACTCCGGCCGCGGGGTTGAGCACCCGCCGGTAAAGGGGATAAGTCAGCCCTGGCTTCCCTGAGGCAGCGAGCGGAGGGACGTGACCCTGGGCGGGAGTTTTGTACATAGACGGTTCGGTTTCACACTACTGGAGGTCCTGCTTTGTCTTCTCGTCCGCGGCGGATGAGGTTCGCTCGCCGCGGAGAAGCGACAGACCCAGAATCCCCGTGGTTTGCCCCCCTACTCCACGAGCAGCTTTTCCGCTTCCCTGCCCTCCGCGAGAGCTGACTTATCCCTTTACGGATAGTTTGAGGCTGGGCTGCCTCGAATCGCTTCTTTCTTGACCCGAAAAGAAGTCCCTCGAATCTTCTTTCTTGACCCGAAAAGAAGGAAGAAGTGCCGGGGTGTTTTTGTGGGGGGGAGAGGGACTCACGGCGGGGCTGAGCTG